CCTTTCTTAAAAATTATTATCTTGAGCGGTACCTTCAATCTGAAAATAATTCTGTGTATCAGAATAATTATGATAATTATATGAAATTTCGAGGCCTAGCAACCTCCTACAATTCAGGGCAACAAGGCTACGTATTGCGCGCCATGCAACACAACAGGGTGGCTTGGTCGGTTTCCAATATGTTATCACCATGCAAAACGAAATTAAAACTCGAACCAGAAATTCCTGTTCTGGTTTAACTGTGCACATGTAATCAAAGGAGTTCAGTCACGGCATTTTGAGTTATTTTGGGCGCGGACAAAATTACCCTTAAATTGAAGGAAACCTGAAAATAATAGTTAACTAAGGTAGAAAAACACCAAAGAGATAATAATAAACCATAAAGGGACAAAGATTGTTAAGGATGGAGAAGATTAATACGGATTACAACTTTAGTCTAAACTTTTCCAGTTGCGGAAACCGTGATGTAACTCCTTTAAGTTCGTTTATCGCCCGGATATGTTGTTAGCCTCTGAGTACAAAGTTGTGAAGCGCCTGTCCGTCTTACGCAGTACTACATATATACTATGGAAAATATACTAAATCGTTTTTATATGATATACTCAAAGTTAAACAACCCTTTGATCAAGCTTGTACCTATTTCTTTTTTCTGCCTTCCTGTGCACTTGGCGTTTAAATCTGTCCTTGCCTACTCTTCGCTTGAAGTTTGTTGCTCCGACCTCGGTGAATTGATCTTCATTAGTCCGTCTTTTTAAACGCTTATTCCGGCGTTTCTTAGTTGGAGCGACTATGTCGCTTTTAGTCCTCGCATAAATATAAACAATTTTCGGAATATAGATTGACGAACGTGCCCTTACGGCTTCGCAGAGTCTTTCGTTGAAACATGTGACAGAAAAGCAGTTGTTTTTTAGCAGGAATGCCACATCACAGGTCTTGGAAATGCAGCATATTTCCACGCATGCCTTCATGTTCGGGACCTTGCCCCGATCCCGAAATCGTCCTGTAGAGATTCCTCCGCGTAGAGTGACATTTGTCATGACCTCACTATTCGTGCAATAACCTTCCTCTTTCGCGTCCAGGTCGTCTCGCGTATCATTTTGTTGCGGTGTTCCAGGTTTGGATTGAACGCGTTCTGAAATGCAATTCAATCATGTATGTCATTGAGCGAAAAAAGCCGTTTCTTTCCCATTCTTTGAAAGCTCTATTGAGCTAGGATCAAAAATAGAAACCCTTTTTACTCTCTTAAATGGACACAAAGGTAATAGAAAAGAGTGGTTATGAAGTCAGCAAAAGTTCTTTGTTGTTTGTTTTTGCTCATTTTCTGGCGTTGATGGTGCACAAAACACAATAGGTGATTTTACTTTTGTCTGAGGAATAGGCCAATAGAAACGCTTTGGTTTGGCATTGCAGGCAATTTGTATAAGATGATGCACAGCAGTGGACCTTTCAACTTTAAAGTTAGGTTGGGTTTCATTTAAAGTTTGTGTGGCCTTATACCAAGTCCCCACTATTAATTAACTATGACAGACACTTTCTCTACTCTCAGGGGGCATCGCTTACAGGGACGTTCCAGTCAACTTCTAAGATGAGATAATTGGGCTAAAGACTTGTCTTGAATAGTTCCCTAAGATAGTATGTTCTGACCATTACTCACCTTTCTTACTTAGACTCTCATTGTCCCTTCTCACGTAAGAGAGTCTGGGGTAAAAATCAGACGAAGGTGCCGGCACCACCTCACAGAGCTCCTCACTCACACATGTGATGGAGTAACACGAGTCCCTCAGCATCAGGGCAATATCACACGTATTTCTGTGGCAGCACAAGTTAACGCACGCCTCCATGCTGTCCACGTGACCGACTGGGGTAAATTTTCCCGCTGAAAGTCCACCACGCAGAGTGACGTCATATGATACGACACTTGGCCTGCAAGAGACTCCATCGCCAATTACAATCTTTTGTGGTAGCACTGGAGAGATTGAAAGTAAAGAGCCATATTTTTACATGTAGGTAGTTGTAACTTTTTGGGGAAGAAAGAGTAACTTTTCAAGTTTTTCTTCAGTAGTCTTTTCCTTTATTTTTTAACCCATCTCACAAACACGAAAGGATTAGGTTTTTCCAATCACCGTAATTCTTATTGAACGAGGGATCCGCTTTAATAGGCTAGGCAGTAGTGGTCTTCCTGTCTAATAAAAAAAAATATGTATATGAGCATTTTAGTAAGCCGAAGTTGAATAAATAACTGTATGTCTTCGGTTTTCCATGATACCGCCCGCAAAATTTCCTTAGAGATCAATGGACTGGAACTTTCTTCTGTAACACATTAGGTTTCGTTAGTTAAGAATAAAAAATTATATGAAAATCTGTCTACAAATTTTCTTGGAAACAAGGCCATACTAACCTTCCTCATCTCTGCTTGTTATAAACGACAGCCTTGGACTCAAATTCGTCAGTAATCCTGACTTGCGAGCGAGAACAGGCTGGCAGAGATCTTCGTTGTAACAATTCACAGCGTAACAGTTGGCCTCTAGCATCAGTGCTACATCACAATCCTTTCTCCCACAGCACAGGCGAATACATGTCGATATCTCCGCAATTTTTCCCAAATCCGTGAAATTACCAGCCTTTATTCCACCTTTTAAGGTGGAGTTGTATTTAATGTCACTATTCTTGCACATCAACTTTGAGTTTGTGGCTGGGAGGTTGCTTAAAGTTATAGCTGTGAATAGAAAAACGATGATATTGAAATATCTGGTGACGCTGAGTCAGTTATGTCACTAAAAGAATTTTAGAAAGTTAGAAAAATATTTCGTCAAATTTTTGGAAGTTGAAAACAACAAGAGCATCATCCACGCTCGGCAACTGCCTTGAAGTGTAAGTCGGTATTAGCATTTGAATTACAGCACGGTCGCTTTTGATGTAAGAAAACATTTGGCTTGATAGCTTTCTCTTTGCACATGTTAAACAACAGTGAAAAAGTCACAACTTCAAAATGGCTATGTACAGGAAATCACAAACCCTTTAAAAGAACGATAGCAATCAAATGAAACCTCGCAAAAGCATTCTGGAGTCTCTGAGAATCCATCCAATTCCTAACCGATGTAAACCCAGTACGTCAAAACTTGGCACGTCCTGATTTTTACATACCCGTGTCTTCGGTCACATTTGTGATCCATCTCCGTACAAAAGCGACCGTAGGTCGGTAATTCTTGGTCTCAGATTTCACAGTCTTGCACAATTCTTTACTAAAGCAAGCTACAAGGAAGCAATGTCCTTTGATCACTAAAGCTAAGTCGCACTTCTCGGAGACACAGCAGAGTCGCGTGCATGAATCCACGTTCTCTACTGTTCCCACATCTGTGAAGTTTCCTGCGCCAATTCCACCTTTTAGTGTGACGCCATCTTCTGCCTCGCTTTCCGTGCATTTTAGATTCTGTGGAACTGGGTGAGTTCGGCGACTGTTTCCTGGAAACAAAAACTTAATTGATTTTGCTGTTGTGTGATTTTAGCATTGTAGCATAAATCAAGGATTCTGGTCTCCCTTAGGGAGTTCATGACGAAACGCCACTATTTTTAGCTGTCAAAGTATCTTTAAGGTTTCACTCAAAGAAATAATAATACAAAACGCCCTTAATTCCTTTTTTTTTGGCTCGATTTCAGCCGGTCTTTCGAGTCCTGTCTACTAGCCCGGGCTCCTTTCCTGAACAGCGACTGGTAATCGAGCCTATTCCGTTTTGAGTGGTATCTTTTAGGGGTCAAATAAAGTTCGAGCCACGCCCACATTGTTTTCCTTTAAGGGTGTGATTCGAATTTTCCCACAAGCACTCCTGGCCTTTTCATGTAGATGTGCCCCCGGGGGTGGAGAGACAAAAAGGAAACTGGTATAGATAAGGATGAGTACAATTGAAGCCAATGGATCACGAACGGCTAACAAAGTTACTAAATTTGTGCGAGATGCGAAGATAAGCCGTATGAGGCTACGATTATATACGGAAGGCGATTGCTGACGAGCGGTTGGCCAATTGATGGTAAAAAATTTCGAGACGTAGCCTACAGCCATTTAGGAGGCTTAATCTATGTTCAAACGCATCTGTAAACCCCAACACGTTTCATTTAAGAACTCTTTTACATTGTAGAGATTCGAAGAGACTTCAGTGTGTCAAGGTCAAATTTCCAAGTTATTCGACTGGTAGGGTCCGGATGAACTGCGAGCAAACTGCGAATCAGCTGCGGGCAAACTTTGTCGTCATATCAGGGCTGTACAGCACCAAGTTAACCATTTGGCGCCCGTGTTAGAATCATATGTAAATTGGGGGACTTACCGGAGGTTACAATCAATACAAAATTTCAAACCATCGGCTCTATGGGTAGTCTCGGTCGTCCTTTAGGGGTTCCTACCATAGCGATTTTACAAGCAAAACTTTTGTTTCTTTATTGATCGCTGCTTATATTACGGAAGATGGTAGCTCACGAGGTGTTCGCACTGGGCTGTTGGACTGTCGTAAATACATACAAGAAGTTATGAAAGCCGCTAATTTGTTAAACATGTAAACTTTGCAGGTGGTTTCGCACAGAAAATTATTTTTGATTAATCTTGCGGCTTTGTCCACAAAGCATTGCAGAAACTTAGAGTTTATAATGCCACTAGGACTCGAGGATTAGGCTCATAAAATACTGCTTAATTATATCGTGGACAAATATATGAGCAAAAGAAAATGTCACCAGATATGTTATCACTCTGATCGCGTAATATTTACACCATGAAAAAGGGGCTGGAAAATTTGTCAAAAAACCGTCAAAATGATTAGCTATTCCTTGACAGGATCACTTAGACACTCAAAATTAAATCTTTTGATAGGTTTTAATAGAGTTTCGTACCTTAATTGAATTGAATTTCACCGGCAATATTTACAATTAGTAGTAGTAGTGGTTTTCCAGTGTTCTCTTAGTTATTGCGCCATCTTACGCAATACTCGGGTTTATTCCTTCCTTATCAAGGCGTCTCTTTTCTTTTCTATGTTACTACCTAAATTAAATTATGCGTTAACACACAGAACACTTCATCTAACCTTCCTCTCCCTTTATTGTGACATGAGAAATCATCAGGGAAGATGGCGCTTTCTTGGCCGGTACAGCGGTACACAATTCTTCACTGAAACATTGCACACCGTAACAGTTTTTCCCAGACATGAGGGCGACATCGCAACCCTTCTCTTCACAACAGAGCCGAATACAAAGCTGCATAGCGACAAACTGAGCCAACTTCTTGAACGATCCCGCGTTGATTCCTCCTCGGAGCGTTACGTTTTGCTGTATCGGGCTCTCCGCGCAGGATTCGATGGGTCCAGAAGTACTCTGGGTGCTATTCGATGAAGCTACAGAATTGAGAACAGCGGGAGATTACCAAAAATTATGACCGCTATTCGAAGCGAAAATCCACCCAAGAAAATAAAAGAAATTTGATGTACCCTTTCCTGAAGAGATCAGTGAAACCAATATTACTAGAACACAAATGGCGGAGATTGCATGCCAACTATATTGCTTCCTCATGATACCATGGCGGAAGATTTTGCAGGGAAAAGCTGCCTTTACCGATAGCCCATCCTCTTCCGTATCCTTGGTTCACCTCATGTTGAATTTCGGGGGAAAACTATGCATTTTACCAAGCAAAACTGCCCAGAAAACCACTTTGTCCTTACTCGACGTCTGCCGCTCAAGGAATCAGTGAATAATTTATTATTTGGAGTCATCAGCTAATCTGACCTAACTTGGGTTGTATTGTTCGCCGGAGCTTGCAACGGGTTGTTTATGCTCGGAGCATCAGCCCACCGAATTCACTTCAAGACAAAGGTTTTTAATTGAACGGTCAAAGGTTACAAGTAAACAGATTCCAATCGCGAGTGATTGTTTTGTGAGGGTTAATAACTGGGGGCCATCACCTTTGTGACAGCCGGTGAATGAATTAGTCATTTGCCAAGAATCGCTTATTTGACGGACCTAATCACGCAAACCATCCGTGACCGTGTGCGAACTTCCATCTTGAAAGCACGTGCGTTGACGAGTGGTTTGCTTTGGTTTGAGCCAAACCATATCATGCACTGTCACGGTCATGAAGGATGAAGACCTCTGGATAGCTTTCTGTACGGTACCAAATCTCCCCGACACTTAACTCTGCAAAACTATCTAAAGAGGCTAAAACCCTTAATCAAGATTTAAGCCTGCTAAAAGGAGAACTAGCTGAGAGTGGAATGAAGGAGAAGCGCTAGAGGTTTTTTTCCAACTCTCAGAGAGATGGAGCTAAACGAGACCACTCTCGGAGTCTCCACAGAAAAACTTTAGCAGATTAAAACTCGATAGGAATAAGAGAATCGCCAAGAATCATAGAGAGTACAGGAGAGGTTCAGGCCAAACTAATGGCAGATTTGGAACTCTTGGTCCCGTTCTTTTTGCTTGACTGGCATTCATTTTTCTAATTTGTAATTTCTTCTTTTTTCGGACTCCTTCCTTTTTTTTCGTAGCTTTGTTATGTCTATGCATGTATTTTCCCAGTAACTCTCTCAACCAATGAGTATAATGAGTACTCTTTAACTGTTTGGACAACCTGAAATTTAGGGCGGTGTCTTCCATGGAATGGAGAGGAACCCTAACTAGAGGTGTCTCTATTTTCCCGCGGGAAGTTGAAAGAGGACGAGAGAAGCGTGAGTGTGGCTCGAGGCGCAGCCGAGGGCTACTCTACCTTCTTGTCAGTGAATCTAATAATTACAGCTTTGTTACGTCTTGTGCCTGTATTTTCCGAGTACCTCTCTCGACTCACGAGTATAAATGAGTTATCTTTAACTGTTAAGACAATCTGACATTTTGGGCGGTGTCCTCCTTGGGGTTGCGAAGAGACCCAAACAGAAGAATCACTATTTTCCCACGGCAGGTTTTAAGAAGACGAAAGAAGCGTGAAAGTAGCTAGAGACGTAGCCAGAGGCTACGCTAGCTTTTATCAGCGACTCTAGCAACTACAGTTTCTCCCTCTGTACATGTAGCTTCTTCCACATAGTATTCTTAAAACTATACTACACTTCGATTCTATGGGTTTCTCTTTAGTGCAGACACCACAGGACCTGAGTTAAGTGACCGTATAACGGAGGTGTCTCCTACTGCGGGAGTCGCTCTTTACGAGGAAAGGCTCGACGAGTACTGTAGCTCAGGTCAGAGTCTCGTTGTCAGAAAGACTTTGCTTCCAACAACAAAGGGTTAAGATTAGAACAATAGGGCCGATCAAGATTATGCAGCGTTTCCATGTTGGTGCTCTGAATAACAGGACGTTTTTACATAACAAAAATATGCGTTTGTTAAGCATTTTATTGGGCAGCCATCACTTCTTGTGAAAACTCCATAATCTTTGGAATCCGAACTACAGTAGACAATTCAAGACTAGAAAACAATTCGAAGGACATAATGAGAAATGTACGTTAATCTGGTTTTGGTATTACGTTGGGCTTTAAATTCACCAGAGAGAGTATGCTGGTCCAAGTTCGAAGTTGATCTTGCGTTTAATTTAACCAGGGGCAAAAAAGGGTCAATACCCCGTACCATTGTTTTTTTTGCGCCAACCCGGCCGTCTCGTGAGGAGTAAATTCATACTTGATTAGTGCCTTTACTTCGAGTCACTTCGTGCCACAAAGAAATGGATGAAACTGACGCTGGGGGAAAGGTTATTAGGACTCGTACAAATAACTGAGAGAAAAACTATTTTAAAATATATTTATTAAATTGCTATTCTACGATTGCAAGTAAGTAATAACTAAATACACTTTATCACCTATTCAAAAAAATAAAACACTATAAAATATTTTGAGGAACTGACACAGAACAATTCGTTGCCAAAGGAAAACTAAACAGCATGTTGTCTTAAAACACAGTCAAATTTCCCGTAAGCAGATATATACCAGAGTTTTAAATTGTGGAAGTTGTTTTCGTGACGTCTTGCTTGTCGCCTTGAAAAGGCACAGTATTCCTTTGCAAGAGAAATCTAAAAGCGGAGCCTCTCTTTGCATTTTGTGCTGACTTTGTCCAATAAATCATTCTCACTAGAACAATATTTCACCTCCGATAAATACGACGTCTTCTGGTCCCTGCTATAGTCGTTTTAAGATTATATTTGTTGGTTTAAAGGCAAAAAAATACATTCTTGCGGTGATCGAGATCCGTATCAAGCCAAACTGTACATCTTTTGTTAAAAAAAGCTTGTAGTTTTAGGCACAGATTATGGATAAACGAAAATGATCCCTGGATGCAAGTTTAGTAACACGTCAAAATAGTTGAATTTAATAGCAAAGAACCATCCATGAAGTAAAATATATAGAAGTGAGTACAAAATATGTTTGTGCTAACCAGTACTAAAATACGCCGCTTGTGTTTAATTAACCATGAATTCTTGACGTCGATAATTACTAAATAATCTCGGTTCATCCTCTGTTTCCAATACGGTACATAGTTTTAAACGTATAGGTTAAAGGAGAAGGTCACTCTAAAAAACGTATATTTTTTGTCAACGCTAATAAAACCTTGCTCTAAGTTTAGCAACTCGCCGACGTTTCAGGCTCTAAAGTGCAGGTTTTCCTTAGAAAATTTGCCTCCAAAGAAGCCCAAATTTGAACAACGCTGCCGCCATTTTGAACAGTGCTCAGCAGACAGGCCGCGTTTTCGTGACGTCATTCCGTCCGAGAGATTTTGCCTAAATGGCTTCCGAAGAGCCTTTTTAATTACCACTCTGGGTTATGGCTGCTCTTTAACCACATTATTTTGAGCCAAATATGCCCCAAACTCCGAAATGATAGCATTGAAGATAGTGAAGTGGATGATCGCTTGGAAAAAAAAATTTGCTGACCTTGTGAACGATGCCAGGTCATTTGCAGGTTTTAATCCTTCCCAACAATTTTGAGTCGGACAGAATGAGTCACATGAACACGGCCTGGCTGTCAAGACAGTTTCAAAATGGCAGCCCCTTCTTTCGAGACGAATTTCTTCAGGATAGCGGGCACTTCAGAGGCTGAGACTTCGGTGAGTGGAAAAGCTGAATGTTTACTTTCCATAGGCAAAGACAAAAAGAGTAAGCTTTTTGAAGTGACCTTCTCCTTTAAAATAATTATTAAAAGAATGACGAGTTTTACCACCCAGTATTGTCATGGATGTGGCCGGGTAAACAGTTGAGTGGAATTTGCGTGTTTTGGTCGAGCTCAATGGGCTCTGTCACAGCTGGTAACTATAACTTAAAATTAATAAGTCAAAGTTTTCTTAGTACGCGATTGCAAGCCGCGCTGTACTCACAAGTCTTTTATCAAACTCGCAATAGATATACATTAACTATTTGTTGAGTATAAATTCTTGCTCTTAGTCACCAAGTAAAGCAGCTTTAAGATAAAAGAAATATAATCTAAAAAATGATAGCTTGACCACCTAAGCTTTCCTTTACAAAAGTCTTCTTTCGAAGCGTCCATCAGTCTCGTTCCAAAAACATACTTTCCTCGTGGCCAGCGGTCATGCAACAGAGCATGCACAGTGAGGGACGTGTGCTTGGATCTGAGGTCAAAGACCGACCTATTTCGATTTTTGTTGTTGTTGTTGTTGTTCTCGTGAGCTTCGGAGGCTGACTGGTATCGTTTGCATCTTCACTACTGTTATCCTTTTTGGCCTCACTTGGTTCTATTTCTCACTCACTCACGTTCCGAAGATTGCGGAAACTCCCGATTAAAACAAGTTAAAAGTTAGAGGTGTTACAAGTCCCTGACGGTGATGATGTCCAAGTGCCCTAATGGTCAAGAGGACATGCAGCTCACGTATTGTCTCGGTTATGAAGTTTTCATCGTCAGTATCTTGGCATCGGTGTTCTGTATCTAGTCTGAGTAGCTGATGAAAAGAAAAGCAAAAACAGAAAAAAAAAAA